ATAAATTATCAAACATTTCACCTTTTGATGGTTTCAATTTATTTAGCACAAAATAGTGAAGAAGGCTTCTTAAATGGTTACATTTGTGCTTTTATTTTAATTTTTTAACTATTACTATTATTATAATGTTTTTGGTTATTTGCGAGATTTTTTTTCCTCTTTCAAATGTTTAAGAAATTATCCCATTTTAGAGTCAGTGACTATACCAAATGGTGGCTTTGTGTAATACTCACGACCCAAACTTGGGTTGATTTTTGACACAGATTATGCTTTATTTCTGCCTTAATTGTCGGCATTAGTTATTAAAATTTAGCTGATTGGTGTTATGGTCATATTTTACGTTTTTGTCCTTTATGTAACCTGGTTTAATAACATTTAGAATTTTATGAGGCATGGCACACTTTGATCAAACTCTAAAAAAAATTAATAAAAATGTCAGGTGTGAAATGAAATGCGCCCTGCCGTGCAACAGAACATAGAGTGATGGCTATCTACTAAATTGTTTCCTTCATGGGCGGAAGATTCCGACATTAAATTTGACTTTTAAGCACCGACAACTTCATCACATGAAGATTACATTAAAATTATATTTGTTCACTTGTTGCCGTCTATTGAAAATTATACAATCTTTGATAATATGATTAACAAATTAAACATTTTTTGGAGTTAAACGTTCAATTGGAAGGAAGGAAGAACAGGCTAGGTGCGGTTTAAGACTATATTGCTTTACATATTTAAAAGGAAAATACATTCGATCCGGAATTTAAAAAAAAAATTTATTGTTTTGAACATATTTTATTGACAATATGTCAAAGGGATTGGACACAAGTTCCAAAAACTTAGATAGTCCTCTCCCATACATAAAATCTGAATAGCCATACAACATTTACAAAGTTTTACAATAATATATACATGTACATAGAAGAACAAAAACAATTGTTTTATGAATAAGGAAATAATATCAAAAACTATTTTAAAAGCAATTGATCGAGATATCCTTATTCTTGAATTTTGTTGGACGACAATGGACATGCTTTAGAGGCTCACAATAGACTGAATTAACCTTCATTTAAGAAGAGTTATGAGGCAACACCCGCATGTTCCCCTTGGGGACACAAAAAAGTAACGTGCATGGATTATACGCACAGCTCCCGAGAGCTCGGCCACCTATGGCTGCACGCGACCTCAAACAAAACCGGATTCGTTCCGGCTATTTATCGCCTTTTCTTTTTGTGATTTGTTGAAATTACGAGCTTTTTCTCATTTGCGCTGCTGTGTTCATTTGAATAGTTTACATCACAACTCAATGCTAGAAAGTTTGCAAGCAAATTGACAGAATGTTTTCATTTCAATTGATATTTTGCTTTTCTTAATTAAAGTATTCGCGCTTGAATATGACCCCGGGATCATGAAGCTTGCTTGCATTGCGCTTGAATATTTTAGAATTCCAATATAAATATGCTAATCAACATTGCATCTTCACACTTCTGTTGTCTGTAATACTAAATTAAGAATTTCATTTCACAAATATCTGACATTTAACCTTTGATCCATATGTGTTCCATGATCCCGCGAACAAAGCTTTGAACTTATAGATTAATATACAGTTAAAGTATATATCATTGAGGGAGTTAGCAAGATTCCAGTTCCTCAAGACCAAACCTATTTCCATCGGCTATGCCTCGGGAAATAGTTCTGGTCTTGGGGAACTGGAATCTTGCTAACCCCTTCAATGATATATACTATAACTGTATATTAAAAAAGTTAATGTTTGAATTTTTGAAGTGAAAAAAATAAAGTTACCCCTCTCCCGATATGACTATGAGGATAATGATGATTATTTTGACTGTTTCAGACAAGGCGGGAGGGTTCTCGTGCCAGTCCCGCTGAGACCAGTGGCAGTGAATGACAGACGCTCTCTGTTGCCATGGAGACATCGAATGTACATTCTGTAAATAAGAGAAACGTCCTGTCCAGGGACTTGTTTATTTTTTATGAGCTAATCAGGTTCATCCAGAGGCTTACGTATGGTGTGGAATAACATCCAACAACAATGGATTTTGAATAGTCCAAACGTTCTTGCATTCCAGATCACAGGAAACATGGTTCTTGTCAAAGTAGAGCAACTTTCATTTGTTGTATTTTTTCACCTTTCCCTTTTGTGTGCGTGATATCCCGGTTTGACTGTTAAACGCCTCAAAATTAACTGCTTTACGACAAAATACATTGCATTAGGCTTGAATGAGAATATTGTATTGAAAAGGGAAAGGAAAATTTGAAGACAAGCTTTTATCCATATCCATTGGTATATTTGTTTGCCTGTACCTGGTTTGTGAGAAACTTTAGTAGAACACAACGCTTAGAACAGTATGACGTCACTGCTATCAAATGGCATACTTAACCGGTGTTTTGGAGGTGTACTGTAGAAAAATATTTTCTTGGATCGATATACTGTAGAGCTCCAGAGATATTTTGTTTAGGATTTATAAATATTGTTTATATACGCTTTACTGCATTCATCAAATTAAGTCTCTCTCTCTCTCTTTCTCTCATTTTATATCCCTTTCCATTTCTTGGAAAAAAATTATTTTTTATTTACACTTACTAAAGCATTAGTTACAATAAAAGAAAACATAAACATTATCATTATTTTCCCCTACAAAATTCATAGATCATCTTTGAAAATTAACATAAGACAATGTCTTATTTTCTTAATGAAAGTCTTTCTTAAAGCCGACTGAAAAATAAATAATAAGTTTTTGACTTATATAAAAAGTTTTGTTGTTTGCTTAATTTGTGATTTTAGTTGTATTGTGTATAAATTGTGCGTTCTAGTCAGCATTTTATTTTTATGTACAGCATAAAGTTAGGTGTTGTAAATATTTTTTCTTCTCAGAACTGCCATGTTTTGATTTTACCTGAAAAATCTGTGAAGAATTTATTTTTATATACTATGATTTTTTGCCCATATATTTGAATTTATTAAACTGTAACTTTAAAGGGAGTGTGGTGCATTCATAAAGACCATTTTAAAGTGAATATCTAAGTCATTGATTACATGGTATTTGATTATGGTATTGTCAACATTGTTTGCAAAGTAAAGTGTACGTGTGGATAAAAACATTAAGTCTCGTTAATATTTACACAAACGCACAATTCGATGCATTTATTGAACTGTAGACTGTAAACGGTTTATGTGGACCAATTTTTAGAAAATTTGAATGCATCGAATTGTTCGTTTCCATGGATACCAAAGAATTAGAGATGATAATGACTGTTCCCTGTCCGGGGATGAGTTTTACATATTTTGTTGATCTAAAACTTTTTGAGTGGCGGTTCATTTTAACAGCCTGTTAGTCAAAAAGAGCACAGAATCTTTCTCTGTATTTTTTAATGAAATATTTGTATTTAGTCTAGAACATAAGATACAATTTTGCTTGAGTGTTTTTAATGTTCAACTTTTTTAGTATCCAAAGTCTTAAACTTGATTAAGTTTTTGATTTGGGTCGATATGAATTTAGCATATTCATAACTCTGTATACTAGTACACTAGGTGAACACTTTGTATATATAATTCTAATGACTTCAGTCTTGTATTTATTTTATTTGAATTTTAGCGACATTTGTCTGTATTGCACTTGTTTTTACCTGATAAAGGTTATTTTTATATTGTCGGCGGCAATATTTTGTTTGTTTATATTACGTTCCCAAATAAAGATTATTTTTCTTCAGTGTGTTTATCTTCTTTCTGTTAATCACATCACCTGAAAACAAATTTTCGGGACGTGTTCGAAGACATATACACATAAACCTACACATTTTGTTCATTGCATTGGGTATAAAATATGGGTCAACGTTAGGCATTGCATAAGCAAGTTTTTGTGCGCAATAAATATATGTTTTTTATGGGTGGCACTGTAGCTGTCTGGTTTCCATCCCAATTTGTTCAGACCAGCTAGCTACAGATCTGCAGCTACTTTCAAAATTACAAGTTTAGCATTTTTGCGGCTTGTTTATTTCATAATTTACTGGTATACCACATAAGGGACCTTTATTGTGGTCACGTGTCGGGTGTCAAGCCTTCGCGTTTGATGAGTTTTCGCCTTTCAGGTCCAGATTATCCTTGATTGACACGGCGCCACTTCACAAGCTTTCTGGTTATAAAGGGGGTGAAGTGGTCGGTATTAAAACTGGTTGTTTGTAGCAAAACCTTGCGTCACTCCACTTACGGGGTATTTATGAGTTTACAATATTTTATGTTTCACAATGAATGAAGAATTTCCATAAGAATAAGAACAGTTATAAACATTACAGCAATATGATGCCTTCATCCGTTCTCTACAGAAATGACCCAAGTTCGCGCCCTTTACTGCGGCGCAGACGACCAAAATCAAGGGTTTCTAGTCAATCACGTAACTCGTAATAACCCTGCAAAATACAAATTTATGCAAAACTGGAGATGTCGTTTAATGTAAGGCTTAAAAGGATTATTTTACTTTATTGTTCTTTGTGATATTGAGTTATCAGAAAGTTAATTTAGTTTTACTTTCCTTGTATCAATGTAGTCACGACCTCGGTACATATCGAAAAGTACAACATAGTACTCACTAATCAATAGTAATACTCAGGTTTTCGTCAATAATAGCTTTGTTCAATCACACGAGGTTATTTCCAACGGCAGAGTTGTGCAACTATTTGTATGTGTTCCTCCATATCCACTTTCATTGTTGCAATAAAATGATAACTGATTACAGTTGTTAATGACTGCCTTAAGGCACATGCGCATTTGAGGCAACATCATCAAAGTCAAAAATATTAATATTTCCGATATCATAATAGTTGGGTTGCACTAAAACTCTGTACTTAGACCACCCACAATAGTTTCTATACGTGGGGGGACAAAGGAGGTTGTGTCAACCCGCTATCCGCCACGTGCGGTTTGTTTTCGCGCCTTAGAAGTCCATTAGTTTAAAATATATATTGGGCTCGTGGTTGCAATCATGAGTAAGTTTGAGGAAAACAACCTCAATCAATTTATGTTTAGAATTACCACCAGGAATGTAGGTGTTATCGATGTCCTCCCTCTAATGAGGGGTTTTGTATAGAACTAATATCGAAGAGCTGTCTGAACGCTTCAAAATGCATGGATGTCATCACTCTTACTTGAATTAAACAAGAGTTACATAGCATTGACGAATTAAATAGTGAACACCCCTAGATCTATTCCTCTTTCTTTCTCAGTTTGTTAAAATTGTAAAATCAGAACTTTTAGACATTTTGAAAATACGTCAGGTGCTCACAGCAACTTAACAAATTACACAGATAAACAGTAAAAAAGGTTACCATAAATTCTTTCCAGGAAAACCTTTAGAATGCATGGTGCAATGGTGTATAAACACTTTCAGATGACTTAAAATTGTGTTTATGAATACCTGTATATAGTTGAAAATTTAAGCAAAAATTTTAAAGTACGTATTTCTTAAAAAAGACGTGTTTGTGAAACACTCATGTCCCCACAAGGCAGCTTTTGACGAAGGTGAAAGCTGCTCATAACTTTAAGGTCAAAATATGAAAAATGTTGTTAACCAAAAGAAAGAACTTGTCTCAATAAATAAATAAATGTACCTGTGAAATTTTAAAGCACAAGCTCCAACCATTCAAATGTTATGGGCAAGATTAATTTTTTTAAAGTGTGGGTCAATTTCCAAAGTCAAGATCAAAGGTGGGACTTAATGGTTTCCATGGGATTTCATTAGAAATATGCATATGAAGCCCTATCACCAACTTCAAAAGTTATTGCCAAGGCAGCGAAGATGTTGACAAGGTTAAGTTTGTCAAAAGTATGAAAAACTCCAATGTCGAATTGTTGGTATACAAAGGTCTTGTCACAAGGAATATATCTTTCAAATGTGAAGGCCCTAATACTAATTGTTCAAGAGAGAGGGTCAAAAGTACAGGTCAAGGTCAAAATATAAAAAAAAAATATTGATATCTTTGAGGGCATCTTTAATTCATTTTTAAAGCTATACATGGCGTATCTGAGCTTTAAAAAAAAAATAAATAAAAATACGAGATTAAGCATAGATTTACATGATATTTGTTATTTAAGTTCAAATTCAAATTTTTACCTATTTTTGAACTTAAATATCCCTACGTTTCTATTAGTTAAATTGACTTTAAACTTTGTTTGATATTTATATCCGAGTCGGAAATGAATCGGTTATTGTTTTAAATCTGTGATATCAATGAAAACAAACAGAAAGACCTTTTTAATTTAAGTTAGTCTGAACTTATAAATAAACTAAACTAAATATCACTTTAACAGACTCAAAGAAAATTTTTATAATGGATTCTAATGTTGAGTCAAAGGAGATTAAACTGTTGTTGCTATTCAAAGAAAGTGTTTTATGTATAGGCCTATACGTAGGATTAGATGTTATATTTAAAAAAAAAAAATAGACAAACACGAATACATGTAAACCGCTTTGTCGGGGGGTTTCGGTTTGTTTTTATTTCGTTTCCGTTTCGGTTTGTGTCCTCTTCGTCGTCCTTTTTGTTTTGTTGTTACCTTCGTGGCTTATGTTGGAATCCACTTATATTTATTTATCTGATGTTCTACTGCACTAAGCAGGTACATGAGACTTACGAGGAAACGACAGTTAGTTTACAGATGCGGAATTCTTACCACTGGAGGAAGTTGTTCGGTCGTAAACTCCCAAGGGGATATGAAAGCATAGAATGTTATATTTAACCGAACACTTCTTTTGTTCTCATTTCATTATGATGTTTTTATGAAAACTTCAATACTTGACATTTCCAGACAAAAGTCAAAGTGTAATATACACCCGATTTATCACTAGGCCATTAATCATTTTAGTAATCTCTTTCTCTTGGATACTGGAACTTCAATATAATAAGCTAAATAAAATAGAATTGAAAATAAAAGAAAATTTATACAAAGACAAAATAAAAATGGTTAATTTCCATCACTTTTACTTTTAAACTATTTGAAAATTTCTCTAGGTCTGCAAGTATTTGATGTATCTACACAAATAAAGCGATTCGTGTGTACCACTTTGTGAAGAGTATAAGAACCGAACACGCTTCAAGTTTATGATTAAATCTTTGTTCTTGAAAATACATAGAAAATAGACCAGGAGTTCCTCAAATATGGTAAAAGAGGACATTTTGTTACCAATCAAAAGTATATTTTCTGTATTGATGGATTCTAGAAAAAAGTAGAATATTATATCATAAAGAAAGAGGAATACCCCCACCCCATACCCTCACACCCCCAAGAAGAAATTTCCTCTCAGTAAGTTAACTTTGAATAATTTATTGTCACATACATGTATGTATAAACGTTTACCCGTTATATAATTGCTGACTCATCAAGTTCCTTAACGGTCTGTTGTTTGTTACTTTACGTAGCTTATCTCTTTTCAACACTGAAGATTCAACAGAAATCAGGAATTTTAAATACTTACACGTAATATCAACTGTAAAGCTAATGACTCGTGAAAAAGTCTATATCTGTAATTTATCTACTTTATAGTCAATCTCGGGCACAAAGGCAGTTTGTGGAATATGTGTGTGCTATTTAAACAGAAAAACCACAAAAATGACGGAAATTTGACGGTGAGTCACTGTCTTTGATTCGTGAAGTTTATATTAATCCCAAGGTCCTCGTATTTAGGGAAAATTCACACTTATTGGAATGAGCTTACCATTGGAAATGATAAGTCTGATTAGAGCTTATCATTATATTAAACATTGGTATACATAAAGTTTTAAGCATACTCCTGAATGTCCGACTTTACAAAAGAGATAGCATTTTTTCTTGAATAAAAAATAATAAAGGAACAAATATCATAATTTTTTTTTGTAAATTAACATTGATTAATATACAATAATAACTTCAATAATTCCGAAATGTTGACAACTCAGTGGAGACATGCAACTGCCAGGTCCGACATTGCATAGGAATTTTGTGTTTCTTCCATGTTTTAAAAATTGAAAGAAATTAGTATATTTATGAAAAAATTATTTTAAAAAATATTTTTATGAAAAAAAAATGCTTTAGGCAAAAGATTCATATAGGTCCCTGATATCATAAATGTCTAATAACTTAGACTGGATTTGTTCGCTGCCCCCCCCCCCCTTTGCCTTTGCAGAAAACCCTGAAGTTTTTCGGGCGATTGGGAGGGGATGCTCCTACTTTTTCCGAGTATAGTATTTTGCTTTAAATTGTAATTTTTCCTTAAAATGCCCCCCCCCCCCCCCCGAACTTTTTATTGTTGAAATTGAGAAATGGCGATTAAATTCCAGGATTTAGACAGTTATTTTTTTCTTTTGCTGGTCATGTTTTCTCACCCCCACCCCCAGCTCAAAACTTTAGTTGTTTATTTAATCCCAACACCTGACTTTTGAAACCGTTACTCCTGTTACACACACATTTATACATTATAATAATATTACCTTGGATCAGGACTAATTAAGTATAAGCATGATAAGTACTAAGTTATTATATAGGTCCCTGCTTAGACAAACGATAGTTATAATTCTTTCTTTCTCTTTCCCAACAGAAAACCTTATTGTTCACTTCAAACCAGACACCCGTAACTTCTAACACCGAGCTTACTAACTGCATTTTCTGGAATTTTTAAAAAATACTACAGAGGATTATATTTCTTTAACATTGTGTTGTTTTAAATATAAACTTCTTCAATATGCCTTTAATTGAAGTTAAACTAACGAAGACTGTTTTTCTTCACATATGAGCAATGGTTTTGTGAAGGAATACGTTTATATTTAGATTCTTATTAATATATACATCACAATAATATGACCTTGGATCAAGGTTTCTCTGCTCGGTCTTGACAGACTAGCGACTAATTAAGTATAAACATGATAAGTACAGAGATAAACATAGAAAGTATTCTTAATAAATATGCATAGTATACAACATTGGCATAATAGTCAACATTTTGACAACGACTGCTTAGGCAAAAAAAAAAAAATATGTTTGTTTCGATAGTTATAATTTTTTTTAATGCTTTTGTCCCATGATGTGCAAGATTTCCCAGGATATGTAATATCTTCGACTTTAAAACTATACAGTACGTATAATAAATGTAACTTAGTAACACATATACAAAGAGCTTGATTTACTCATTTTCATTTGTAAAAAGCCATGTTAACTTTTCATTATTGAACATAATAAAAAGATTAAACCAATATTAACATGATGGTGTGCAAATATTGTAAATGTAACAAAAGACCTGCGATGCACAATTTCTAGTTAAAAATACTACAAGGATTATATTTCTTTAAAATTGTGTTGTTTTAAATATAAAACTCTTCAATATGCCTTTGATTGAAGTTAAACTAACGAAGACTGTTTTTCTTGACATATGAAAATATCTAAAACGAAATGGTTTTGTGAAGGAAGCACAATTATAATTTACAAAAATTAACAATGTAGTAATGTTCAAACATCATATACAATATTTTGATATGAATTGACTTAGTAATCTTAAGATTTATTAGCTTCTTATTAAAATCAAGATTAGGGAAATTGGTACATATGTCTGAGATAGATTTTAAGAAAGTTTCTCGTTCATCTTTGAATTTAGCGTTATATATTTAAATCACATTTTGTACATAATCGCATGTGTGCTGGGATACCCTGAGTAAATGGTGTGAAGATATTCTAAATCTACTCAGGCATCTATCAAAATTTTTGATGATATCCAAAACCAAATTGATCTTTAATTTTAACATAAGTACTAGTTTACCATCCCTATAGACTTGTCAGGGATCTGTATTTAAACATCCCTTAAGATCTGGTATATTTTCTAGAATGAAGGAGGATTGGTCATAATGAAGAAAACTTCTGGTGACGAGTCTCATACCTTTAAGAAACCATCGTTACCCAAGGTTTCTCTGCTCGGTCTTGACAGACTAGCGAAGGAAAAACGGAAAGCTGTAGAAGGGGAAGAAACAATAAAGAAAAAGTCAAAAGTCTCATCATACAAGGATGATGTGGACGATGAAAGTGAGAGTGACGAGGAAGAAATAGATGAGAACAGAGATAAACATAGAAAGGAAAGAAAAGAGAGGTATTCTTAAAAAATGTGCATAGTGTACAACAGTGGCATAATAGTCAACATTTTGATGGTGACTGCTTACCAGTAGAAGTAGAAATGTCACTTGCAAAAAAAATCAAATTGAAAGTTCCTTTTACAGTTCTTGTTCTGTAAGAAATCAAATGAATATATTGGATAAATATTATTATTTTAGGAATTACAGACAGAGTCGAATTGAGACACCTTCACATCCTGGGGGCATTAGTCGAGAAGCCCGAGACAGACAAAAAGAGAAAAAACAGAGGGACAGAGACAGAGGTGTGCATGCTTCCTCTAAAGACAAACACAGAGATGAAAGAAGGGAGCGAGGTAAGTATTCTTATCAAATAGCTAATTCAGAAAATCAACAGTGAATAACTTACTCTTAGAGAAAGTTGTTGAATTACACTGACCTGCTGCTTTTATTACCAAATTACTGAACCTCTTTAAAAATTTGGCTATTTTAAATTTAGCATTGTATATCAAATCTTTCCTCAATCTTTTAAAATGTTTGCTAATGCTTCTTGATTAGACTGCAGGTAAAATATTCAAACCATATAAAATGATTAATGTTTCATTTTCATGTTTTTTATTAGAATTCATCTTTTATAGACAGGAACTACTCGCGTGATAGGGACAGACACAGAGATGACCGAGACAGACGTCGTGATAGGGAGCGTCATCATGGTGACAGAAGCAGTAGAAGTCAGCGAAGTGACAGGAGTGATAGAAGTTCCAGGGAGTGGGAGGAGACTCCAAAGAGATTCAGGGACAGCCCTGCCACCCCTAATATCAGGGTCAAAGGTAATGCCATCATTTTAGTGGTGGTCCTCATTAATTAATGCTTTTTCAAGTATAAATTTCAATTTTATGAGCTATTTTCTTAGCTTAGAAGCTTCCTAGCCAAAAATGATATAGTCAGTACAGTTGTAAGAACAAGTTCACTTTGGTAACGACTAATTGTAAAGTAAAAAGATGACACATTGTTATTTGCTGATGTGCATGTTAATACAAATAGTAGCATAGAAGTAGTAGTTTTGGATCTTTCAGACACACATGCTGGCAGTATTTATTGAAGGAATGGCATTCTTTTCCAGATACACCTTCTCGTACTAGTTGGGAAGAGGATGAAGATGATTCTACTCCGCTGAAACGATCCAGCTGGGATTTACCCACTCCAATTAGCCGGGACTCAGAGGACAGAAGTGAAAGAAGCTTTTCATCTTCCCAGCGCTACAGTAAAGACCGCAGGTATGCTTGTTGATCAGAAATATAGCATTTTAAAAACTTTGTTGGTACATGATGTATTTATGTCTTATAAGAAAATGTTTTCATTTAGGATCATATGAAACAATTATCAGTATAACTTGAAATGATAATTACATGCAAATCTTAGAAAACTTGAGATATTTGTAGAAAACAGAAAATACCAGAAATACAATATCAATACAGATTTCTTATTTTTCATTTAGAAAAAAGTCTGATGAAACTCCATTGCCAACACCTACATACAAATACAATTCTTGGATGAAAGACAAAAAGAAAATACCTTACACACCTCGAACTGATGAGAAAGGTAATAATCTGTTTTTCTGACAAAAATATAGCATTTCAAAGGCAGTGACAACACAAAAGCAAGGGGCAGGCTAACCCCTAGGAACATTTAGTTTGTTAAGAAGGAACAGTTTTGAAAGATTGGTGTCTTTGAAAATGACATCTGAGTTTGAATCTGAATCCTTGATTTTTTCCCATTAACTGCTGCATAATTTTTTTTTATAAAAGGAAATTTCTTCTTGAACAATTTTCAACAATAATGATTCTAACTGCAGGTATGTTGTATATCATGGCTGATCAAAATGAATTGCCACAAATGAATCCATTGCCTCAAATATTTGAGTTTTCTTTACTACTGCCACTTTGATGAACAGCTTCTTATTTTTTTTTCTTGAGGATTTTTGACAAGGGATAACAGACATCTAATCACCCGCTTCCCAGTTCTTATATGTGTTAGTCCCTGTATTGAATATACCGGTATGTTTGATTGACAGGTAAAGTGGATTTAGAGAATATGACAGAGGAAGAGCGTGAGAATTGGGAGGAGGAGCAGAAACGACTTGACCGGGAGTGGTACGGACTGGACGAGGGGTATGATGATGACCACAACCCATTCTCTGGGATGTCCTCAGAATACACTAAAAGAAAAGAGGAAGAGGTAGAGAAGAAGAAGAAAAAGAAGATGACAGCTAGACAGGCACAGCATCAGAGGGTAAGTGTATATATAGAGACAGGCACAGCATCAGAGGGTATGTGTATATATAGAGACAGGCACAGCATCAGAGGGTAAGTGTATATATAGAGACAGGCACAGCATCAGAGGGTAAGTGAATGTGGACAATCACACAGGCTTAGAATTAGAGGGTAGGTGTATATATAGACTCAGAAAGACTCACCATCATTAGGGGTATATGAAGAATCTGTCAGGTTCAGCATCAAAGGGTGAGGGTATACCCGGTAAGTAGAATCATATCAGCACAGCATCAGAGAGTAAGTGTATATGTAGAATCTGTCAGGCTCCACATCAGAGAGAGGTACTGTAAACCAACTTTTATTCGCGATGACTTTATTTCGCGATTTACCTGGAATAAACTAAATGGCGATGATTAATTTCTGCCTATTTTGGATCTGTTGTAAATAGGCCCATAGACTTTAAGGACCGGTTCGCAGCAAGAAATATTTGCGATGACGGAGCTGTCACGAACTTTGCGAAAATTTTCTCGCACGCGAATAAAAGTTGGTTTACAGTAATGTATATGTAGAATTAGTCAAGCCAGGCATCAGAGGGTAAAAATATTTGTAAAATCAGTCAGGCTTAGCATCAAAGGTGAGTGAATATGTAGAAACTGTCAGGCTAAGTGAAGAATTGGTCAAACCCAGCACAGGAGAGTTAGTGTTCATATGTACATGTAATGAGATAACACCAGAGAGTAAGTTAATTATACAGAATGTTGATAAGATCTGGTTTGATTGCCCAGTTCATGCTGTATTTATAGGACAATGAACTATGGGAGACCAACAGAATGATGAGGAGTGGTGTGGTGGTCAGGACGAATTACGATGAGGATTTCGAGGAGGATAATGAGGCCAGAGTTCACTTACTGGTTCACAACATTGTACCACCATTTCTGGACGGCAGGATCACGTTCACAAAGCAGCCGGAGCCAGTCATTCCAGTCAAGGTAGGATCTTCACATTTCTCTTGTATAAATATCCCTTTTATAACAAGTATACGGAAAATCAATGATTTAGCTGTTAGAGTTGTGAAACTTGCATACCCAATATGTCATACTCAGAGATAAGTTTTTGGACAGTCCCAGTATATTTGAAATATTAATATTTGAGAAAATATATAAAATGATTTGAAATAAAAAATATCACATAGTTGAAGAATAAATCATTTTGAAATTTGGGTTTAGTGAAATATAGTGATACACAACAGAAATTTTATTGCATTATATACATTCTGATATTTATAGGATCCAACCTCAGATATGGCTCAAGTGGCCAGGAAAGGTTGTGCTGTGGTTAGGATACACAGAGATCAGAAAGAAAAACGAAAAGCTCAGAAAAAAGAATGGGAATTGGCAGGAACTAAAATTGGTGAAATCATGGGGGTCAAAAAAGAGGAGGAAAAGGTAAAAATTTAAAAGTTAAAATCAATTAGACCATGATATGTCTAATGAAATATCCTTCTACTCAGTCGTTTCATATTAAAAAATGAATGATATTTTCCTATAAAGTTACACTACATATTGAGTTTGTAAACAGATGAATTACAGTGTAGAGTTTTGTCCCTTTCAGGATGACAAGACTTTGGAGAATGGAGACCTAGATTACAAGGCAGACCACAAATTTGCTGATCTGCTGAAAGAGAAAACAGAGGCAGTTAGTGACTTTGCCAAAAGAAAAACCATAGCAGACCAGAGGAGATACTTACCTATTTATGCGGTCAGAAATGAGGTAAGTCAAGTAAAAGTGTATTATCTTTTAAGTAGATTTTTGCTAGATTCAGTCAGCTAAAACTGTGGAATTTTAGCTCCTTTTAGAGATATGGTATTTACTTATCAGACCTCAAATAATTAATAACAAAAAAATTTGATAGGAATAGGGATAAAGGGGTTATAAGTGTCAGATCACCAGTTGAAATTATAGAGATGACATAACTCTGTTTTTTGCTTCTTTCTGCATTTCATTATGATTTTTGAGTTGGCTCGCGTAGCGAGCTACTCCCTGTCGACATAGCCGTTTCAGAGCTGTAAAATTTATCACGCATTCATCAAGGTGATCCATACGCCAAATATTATAGTTCTAGCAAAAAATGATTTGGTTTGAGTGATTGTGTGAACTTAAGAGGTAAAAACTGTATAAAATTTCATACTGTAACATTATTTATGCCTTCATGCTTTTAAAGAAATTTTTGATTAAATACCTGTACGATGTACAATTACTGCGTATGAATATATGTTCAAGCATGTTTTAAATCTGAAGTTTATTTATAATTGACCTAGAATACTCCCTCTCACAAACACCTGCTGCTCTCATTAGCTGCAGCTAGTTGTTGTTGAAAATCTTTTTTAGAATGCAAATTTGCTGTGGGATATATTTAACCTAATTACTTCATAACACTGACCACTTCAGCTAATGTGCTTAAATTCATTATAGAATCCAGTCAAAATAATACTGAAGCCCATGAGTGCCAACCTGTATATATAAAGGAAAAGCAATATACACTTTATTTATGAACCGAACATGGATAAGACATATAATATTCAATCTCTTAAGATGCAAAATAAACTAAATATATTAAGGTATGGTGCCCAGATGTATTAAAAAGCTCAGTTGACTCGAGCGAGTCAACTCACAGGCCCTTCAGGCCTTTGATTTATCTTTTCTTCTTCTAGCTTCTGAATGTCATCAGAGACAACAATGTGGTTATTATAGTGGGAGAAACGGGATCAGGAAAGACAACCCAGCTTACACAGGTCAGTGAAGTGAGGTAGTTATACATGGTCATGCTTGTCAATGTCATCCATTATAAACCTCCCCTAATCAATGTTTTTCATACATTGTGATATTATCTGAAAATTTAAAAAGAAACAGTAAACATTTGGGTACAGGGAATAATTCAGTATGCTTATACATGTAATGAATTCATGCTAACAGCAGAGTGAATTTTACTCTGTAGTATTAAAATGTTTTATGAACTTATCAGATATATTGATTCTCATTTATAAACAAATCACAGCTGTTCATCCTGGGCACTTTGCTTTATGCGTATTTTACTGCATTTTTCCCAAATCTAAATGCAGCTCATGTTCAGTTACAAAGCTTTCCTTCTTTTCAGTACCTGCATGAGGATGGCTACACTAAGTATGTCATGGTCGGATGTACACTAATATTAATCTTTTTTCTGTGTTTCAGTATCTACATGAGGATGGCTACACTAAGTACGGTATGGTCGGATGTACACAGCCCAGAAGAGTGGCAGCAATGTCGGTGGCAAAGCGAGTCTCGGAGGAAATGGAGGTGGAGCTGGGACAGGAAGTAGGGTATGCCATACGATTCGAGGACTGTACATCAGAGGTAGGTATTCCATGAATTATCAAGAAACTGATTTTATTCTGGATGGAAACCATACTTAAATAGTAAGACAGGTGACTGTACACACATAAAAAATACAATATCACTCCATTATATGTATCTTCAAAGTGAAGTATAAACTGTATTCAAAACTGATACTACTGGATACATGAATTCATTTTTAGCTCTACTGGTCAGAGACCAGAAGAGCTTATGCGATAGTAATGCGTCCGGCGTCCGTCCGTCTGTCTGTCTAGCTGTCCGTCTGTCCATCTGTCTGTAAACAATTTTTCAAAATGCTACTCCTCCTACAGTTTTGGTCTAATTTCAATATAACTTGGCACACAAGTAGACTACACTAAGATACATAATTCTATATATCGGTTTTTGATTTTGATGAACGGTGTTGCCGTGGTTACTAAAAATAGAAATTTCTGTGAAATTCTTTCAAAATGCTACTCCTCCTACAGTTTTAGTCTGATTTCAGTATAACTTGGCACACAAGTAGAATACACTAAGATACATAATTCTGTGTATCGGTTTTTGATTTCGATGAACGGTGTTGCCGTGGTTACTAAAAATAGAAATTTCTGTGAAATTCTTTCAAAATGCTACTCCTCCTACAGTTTTGGTCTGATTTCAGTATAACTTGGCACACAAGTAGAATACACTAAGATACATAATTCTGTATATCGGTTTTTGATTTCGATGAATGGTGTTGCCGTGGTTACTAAAAATAGAAATTTCTGTGAAATTCTTTCAAAATGCTACTCCTCCTACAGTTTTGGTCTGATTTCAGTATAATTTGGCACACAAGTAGAATACACTAAGATACATAATTCTGTGTATCGGTTTTTGATTTCGATGAACAGTGTTGCCGTGGTTACTAAAAATAGAAATTTCTGTGAAATTCTTTCAAAATGCTACTCCTCCTACAGTTTTGGTCTGATTTCAGTATAATTTGGCACACAAGTAGAATACACTAAGATACATAAATCTGTATATCGGTTTTTGATTTAGATGAACAGTGTTGCCGTGGTTACTAAAAATAGAAATATCTGTAAAATTGTTGCAAAATGCTACTCCTCCTACAGTTTTGGTCTGATTTCAATATAACTTGGCACACAAGTAGAATACACTAAGATACATAATTCTCTGTATCAAATTTTAATTTTGATGAACTGTGTTGCCGTGGTTACTAAAAATTGAAATGTCTGTAAAATTGTTTCAAAATGCTACTCCTGTACAGTTTTGGTCTGATTTCAATATAACTTGGCACACAAGTGTGACTACACTAAGAACATAAAGAGACTTTATCAATGATCATTATTCTATATATCGCTGTTGTAAAGTTTCAAATCCCAGCTGCTTAAGTACTCTTCTCTTCCTTTGCTATAAGTTCAAACCAGTAGAGCTTCAGTCTCGACAGAGACTTCTGGTTTATGTTGTATGTTTATAATGAATGTGGAATAATATTGTCCCTTTGTAACCAGTGTGTGTCACAAAAGCATATTTCTACATTTTATACATTTCAAACAGTTGTAATCTTCAGATGTACCTTTGAAGATTATATCTGTTTTATATATATACATGTATTTTTTGTATTTTTACTTATTTATACATGTACAAAAAGAGGTAACCTTGAGGATTTATTTCAGAAAACCATGATTAAGTACATGACAGATGGTATCCTGCTGAGGGAGTCGCTGAGAGAGTCAGATCTAGACAACTACAGCGCTGTCATCATGGACGAAGCTCACGAGCGATCACTCAACACAGACGTCTTGTTTGGACTCCTCAGAGATGTAATGTGTTTATCAAAAAAAATCATATTGACTGTTATCAATGCATTTTGACTTTTTAGGCTAAAGTATAGACTGTGTATGTGACATGTAGAGCATTTATTTTGTAGGTTGTTGCCAGGCGTCATGATTTGAAATTAATAGTGACATCAGCTACAATGAATGCAGATAAATTTGCCAACTTCTTTGGCAATGTGCCAACTTTTACCATTCCTGGACGAACATTTCCTGTGGAGATTTTTTTCAGTAAGAATGTTGTGGAGGACTATGTAGACTCGGCTGTGAAGCAGTCAATGCAGATCCATCTAACAGGAATGAAAGGTGAGTCATTTTAGGGACAGGTCAGGCCACCTCACTGAGGAGAGGGGAAACACTTTTTTTGCTAATTTTCACATAGGAAAATGTCTTCTTTATCAAAGTTGTTTATCTTTTTGTAAAACTTGCTCAATTTTATTGTCTGTTTTTGTTGTAGGAGACATATTGGTTTTCATGCCTGGACAAGAGGACATTGAAGTTACTTGTGAACTCTTAGCAGGTTTGGTTTTGAATTGAAAAGAAATACTAAAATATACTTTTCAAAGTTAGTTTTTTTATGCTGAATTAATTATTTTTGAAAAACAAATAATTGTATTTCATGCCATTTTCCAAGTAATAATGAAGTTAATTATGATAAATAAATGTATTCTGGCTTTCACATTAATTCTTTACCATCAGAGCGACTTGGAGAATTAGATGAGGCCCCTCCATTAGCTATCCTCCCCATCTACTCCCAGCTTCCCAGTGACCTCCAGGCCAAGATTTTTGAGAAAGCCCCCGATGGTGTCAGGAAGTGTATTGTGGCCACAAACATAGCTGAGACCTCGCTCACAGGTTATCTCCCTTATATATTGTCTTGGAAATCTCTTTTATTCAAACAACTAGTAAATCTGTAATTTTTCTGTATTAAGGTACTCCGATCCTCAGGTTCTGAAAATCAAACATTGACAAATTGAAAATGCTCACAAAAATGTCTCTGAATTTTCAAAGTAACGTGTTTTTACCCGCAATAATTTTTCAAACTTCATCTTTCAAGTTAATCATATTACCAGAGAAAATTAGTAAATCTCAAAAACATTTTCAGGAATTGCGAATAAAAACACTTGCTATGATCAATCAACACATTTTAAAAATAAAAATCATAGGTATCCAGGCTTTTGAAGAAATTCCACAATTTTTATGCGCACAGGTAACTCTCGATACCTCGAAGTCCGCGGGACCGAGGAAAAACTTTGAGAGATTCAGTTATGTGTTGTAGATTTTTTCCATTTGTTTGGCAGGTTTTAAAATTAGTCTTACCGGATGTAATGATTTTCATGCAGTGCTAACTTTTCACACGTTTTTTATAAAACAGCAATATGATTTCGTATTTTAGATGAATATTTATTAATCTGAGTAAAGCTAAAAATGTACATCATCATTTTATATAACATTTTTGAATAAGTTTTCTTATTATATTACAAATGTAATAAGTTTCGCTATAAACCCTGAAAAATGCTGAGTCACACTGGAAACAGTTATGTCACGCCAGAAACAGTTATGTCACCCCCGATGGAAACAGTTATGTCACCCTTTCGATCACGTTCACGTGTTTTTACGTTACGCATTTTAATTCAGGTTCGAGATTTTATGACATCGGTTGCTAAGCAAAAGTAAACAACACAGCGTATTTCTTAACGTCAAGAAGGCATTTTTGTAAATTTTAATGATTTTGAATGATTTTAAATTTTCTTTTAATTTTAAAAATGTCATATAACATTTACCACATGGCTTCTTAAGGAAATAGCATAAATCATATTTGAAACATGGAAAGCATTTATTTTGACACCCTCTGCCTTCGGCATCGAGTGACATAACACTCTAGGGTTTTCCTGTCACCTCGAGGCAAATATTCTGGTATAGTCGCCCAAGAAGCCCTGTGATATATGTATAATGTTAATTTTTTTTATTCTTTATGATACGGACATCATATATCATACATTCGTTATATGAAGACGACATTTTACAGCGCCGCGTGGTACATAGCATTGTGATTTTTCCAAACACGTGCATTGAACAAAGTTCTGTAAGTATTTGTCCAACAATAGTCGTCATATTGACACTGAGGCTGTTTCTGGATTTTCATATTTCGATAAACTTGGACACTGACTCGAAATAAAAACTAAAATTACTAAGTGTTTCGTCTTGCAGTCTGCAATTATAATTTCTCAGTGACACTGCATTTCTAAATTATCGTAATACAGTCAATGTTAATTATTTTAATAGCATATAGGCAACATAAGATTAATTATAAATCAATTATCAATTTGCAGTATAAGTGTCACCTGAATAAACATCCTGTTTAACGCGTTTCACGAGACCCGCGACTTCTGCCTGGGGCCATTAAATGTCCAGGTAAAGTTGCTAATTATGTAACTTGTATACACATAGCCAATTTGAGGTATCGAGGTTAAATTTCAATAGAATATGCATAGTGGGACTGCATTTTGACTTCGAGGGATCAAGGTTTTCGAAGATAATTAGAAATCAAATAAATTTGTTAGTTATATAGGCTTTCACATTCTTTTGTCGATCAGAGAACTTGGAGAATTAGATGAGGCTCCACCTCAAGAGTTACCTCCCCAATGTACATGTACTTTAATTTCTTTTATTTACTTCGATCATTTAACAATGCAAAGTGTATAAAGATTCTCCTGTCATTGTGAAGCACCATAAAACACATGTTAATAAACATTGGTATCTATGGTTTGATTAAAAGGAACATCAATTTCTTTATATATAATTTTAAAATGCTTTTAAAGTAAAAATTCCCTGATTTTTGAATATTTTTGGAATTCAAAGAACCTTGAAGCACATTGAGAGGTATAAAAAGAAATTTGTTGCATGAAATGGTTAATTTTCAAGCTTCATTTTGAGACTTTTTGAATTAAATTGTAAATTAAGGAGTTGTCCTTAAGGATTGGAGTCCCTTAAAAAGGAAAATTGACGTGATTTTGGAGAAATGATTAATATTATTTATTTTCTACAGTGGATGGGATAATGTTTGTGGTAGATGCTGGGTACTGTAAACTTAAGGTGTTTAACCCTAAGATTGGTATGGATGCTCTACAGATTTTCCCTATTAGTCAGGTAACACTGCTTCTTGTATTTTTATTTTATTACATGTATTTCATAAACCTTGATCTTCAGGAAATCAAAAATAAATTATTATAAATGTTATTATTTTATGGCTGCATCAAATTATTACATGTATATTTATTTTATTTAGGCCAATGCTAACCAGCGTTCTGGCAGGGCTGGGAGAACAGGACCAGGGTAAGTACAAAAAAAAGAGATACTTTGGAAGTATTCATGGGTTAAGAAACTGGGGAATTGGGTCATTTTTGAGTTTTTTATCTGGGTATTCCATATCTCACTGAATTTTGAAACTTAGATAGTATCGTTTATATCAAGATATTCATATAGGAAATTATGTTCTCATTAAGCTGAAGTGTTTTGCAATCAAAATAATTTGGTGGGTGTACATGTGAAATGATTGAACAGTATTTCACATACACATGTACATGTATTGTTATAAATTGAAGAGATGATATTTCTCTAAATAATATTTGTTCTTTGTATCAGTATATCATTGTTTTTCCTTTTACAAGATTTATATCTTTTTTGTAGATGCAAAAAGTATTTTTAATGTTGACTTTGTACTGCATTTAATAAATTTATAAATTTTATTGCCATCACTAGTTTACTTTGAATTAATAACATACTGTCTTTATTTTTAGGCACTGCTATCGTCTGTACACACAGAGGCAGTATAAAGATGAGTTACTGACTAACACTGTCCCCGAGATACAGAGGACTAACCTGGCTAACGTCGTCCTGTTACTGAAATCTCTGGGGGTCCAGGATCTGCTGCAGTTCCATTTCATGGACCCACCACCACAGGTCTGTAACATTACACATGTTCAATATCTCACCATTACATTTCAAATTTCTTAGGTCATAATTATGATTTTTTTTTATTGTAATCTTTGCTTTGTTTAAAAGGGTATTAAAGATTTTTATTTACCAGATGGTATCAAAAACTCTGACTTATCTAAAGAACAATATTTGACTTATTTTCAGGACAATATTCTAAACTCCATGTATCAGCTGTGGATAACTGGTGCCCTAGACAATACTGGTTCCCTGACTCCCCTGGGGAGACAAATGGTGGAATTCCCCCTAGACCCTTCACTGTCCAAAATGTTGATTGTTTCTCTGGATATGGGCTGCAGTGCAGAAATTCTGGTAAGTACATTTACCAACACGTTATTGCAATACTTTTGGAAGGTCAGGCCATCCTTAAAAAAATGTTTGTTTGGAATTGCCGCCTGGGGGTTTTCAGACCCAGGAGGCCACAATGGATGATCAAAGTTTTTTTTTTTACAAATTGGAAGCTATAATGATATAAAATAAAATTTCAATGAACAGCAAAGCCATAATTGGTCCATTTATATGGAAGCTCTTTCAGGTTATTAGATTATTTGTTCCGATTTTGAAGAAAAAATGACAATATACACAGAATATACGGTAAAAAAATCTCGTTTAAATGTTAAGATCTGTTCATTTATTAATTGTTAAATTTCAGCATCAAACGTCTAGTTTATTTAAAGAATCTTATTTAAACAATACTTTTATCAGACTATTTCGTAGTATTTCTCTTTGAAATTTACCCCTTTATTAAAACAACGCTTGCAAACAGTTTGTAACCACACAAAATTTCTTATATGGAATAGTTGGGATGTTTTGTTGTAAAACCGGGAGGGGGTGCTTCATACGTTTTCAAGTTTTCACCGAGCATCAGTAGGAACATTACGTTTCAAAGACTTGTCATATCTTGTTTAGATAACATTTTTCCTTTATTATTTGGGATAAAACGTTTTTGATCCATGTAATTTTTAAGTGGGAACTGAAAGATCAAACTTGTTCGGACATGACGGACTAGCTTATCAAGTCCAATGTGCAGTCTATTACAATAGCTCTTTCAATCGATGTATCATTCCATTTAATTTTCTATTCACCTTTTATTTTTATAGAGATGCATAAAAGTTCTGCTCTTCAACACAACGCTTGAATGTTTCCAACATCTTGAACATGGTCTGATATTTTGGTGTCTTTTATTTTGTGAAATCGCCACCTATAATCGCTATATCATAAATACTATGAAGAAAGCATTTTATTATTTTCAGGACAATAATGTGAACTCCATGTATCAGCTGTTTAACTATTTCCCTTGACAATACTGGTTCCCTTGTACTAAACAATGTAAGACGATAAAATGATAAAAAAAATATTGTCAATGTCAAAAATTTTTTGTTTCTCTATATGGGCTGGTGCAGAAATTCTGGTACAAACAAAGTTAATTTTATTTTGGCCTTCATAAGGTTTTTAAAAACACCGTTTACAATGGGTAATGAAGGGGGGTTACTGAACAGTATGGGGAAGATGTTTCAGAGTGTATGACAGTACATTTTCAAAGCTTTGGACAGATGTAGGTCACATCTTTTTGCAGTATTTTTAAGACATATTTGTGAAAAAAAATATCCAATGGAAGACAGCAATAGATAAGCTTTGTCATGGTCATTGGTCCAGCTATCATATCATCTAGTATATCAAATACTTTGAAACGGTGGATATGAAAATGAGATCCTATGAGCTACATCCACTGCATAAGATAGTAAGCATGCTTAATGCTAAAGCATATAAATAAGAAACCCTGTAAACTATTTCATCTAATCAGTAAGGATGTTCACACTTTTAACTATTTATTTTTCACACCCTGGCTGGATTTGGAAAAAAAAATGAAATGAAATCTGTGGGTGGTCTTGTTTTTCTTCTTTATAAAATAACCTTCTGTTTAATGTTGGAAGAAATTTTAAGGTGCGTACATCATTTCACAGTTATAATGGGTATTTAAAAGCAACAGGTAGTAAGTTTCCAAGAAATAAACATCCCAGTTTGCGAATAGATATGTAATATTTTTGTTTTAGCAGAATTCTGAAGTATGACTTATTTACAAATAATGAGCAGTGATGCTGGAGTGAGCATAACAGATTTGAGTCATTTGATATAACTTTGACCAAAGGTCGTTTAATGCAAAGAGTGTAAAATGCATGAAATTCAAGGTCACCTTCAGAAAAAAGTGTAATGTATAATTCCTCACCTGCCCACAGGGAACAGTAGCATACTACTCCTGAATTATGCCTCCCTTGAAAAGGGGGCGGTCAGCTTTGCACTTATTGAGTAGTCAATAAAACAAGTGTTTTTGATTTAATATCTTGAGAATCTTTGTTGATAAACTGCAAACTTGGTATACTGGAAGCCCCTGAAAAGAAAATGAACCCAATTGATTTTGAAGTCAAAGGTCATCTACTCTAGACATAATGAGACATTGTCCACTAGATATCTTAACAGCCATTTGCTTTTCAAACATAAAATTTTCTACATTTAAAGAAGTAGGTAACCCCTATTGATTTTGAAGTCACAAAATCAAAAGTCAAGAATCAAAATGAACATACATGTATAAATTAATAGACTGTTTTTAAATATCTTGTGAATCCTTTGATGGATATTACCTCTTGAAGAGTAATGAACCGTATTGATTTCAAGGTCACAGGGTCAAAGATCAAGAGTCAAACTAGACATACTGAAATGTATAGACATTTCAATATTTTTGAAAACCCATTACTTACACTGGTTTCCTATAAGGGGTAGATAACCCCTGTTGATTTTGAGGTCACAGAGTTAAATTAATTCAAAGTCAAACTGCATGGATATAAATGTAAGAAGTTAATCACCCAGTATTATTTTGTGAACATTTTCATCACAGAAATGTAACTTAGTACACTGGTTCCTGGAATATGTAGATGACCCCTGTAGACTTTGAGGTTACAAGGTCAAGGTCAGACTATTCTTAAACGTTTGAATATATTGTCCATCCATATGCAATTTGATAAAAATACCTTGAATTTTTTTTCTTTGAAACTTAGCTATATATAAATACGAGGTCAAGGTCAAAGAAAAGCCCAAGGTAGAAAATTAATGTTGATGAAGTTGAATAGCTCTTCTAATTTCTGTTAGCTTAAAATTTGATAAAAATGTCTTAGAAAGTCTCTTTGAAACTTAGGTAATTATAAAATATTATAGATATTCTGAACATTTCTTTGTACCTTTGCAAAGCACCTAATTGAGAAAAGTGAGATCAAGAACAAAGCTGAGGTCAAGGTAAAAAAAAATAATGAAGTTGAATACTCATTCTAATTTGAACCAGCTTATAAGATTTGATGAAATTATCCTAATTTGTTTCTGTGAAATAAGTTAATTACAAAATTAAGAAAGATCAAGGTCAAAGAAAAAGTCAAAGGTCATTTTTTTTTTAAGAAGAGTTTAATAGCTCAGCATATAAGGTTTCATAAAAATATATTGAGTAGTTCTTTTAATCTTAATTCAAAACATAAATTTTTGAGAAGCAAAATCAAGGTCAAATGTAAGGTCAAGGGCAATTTTTTTATGAAGTTGAATAGATCTCATCAATATGTATCAGCATTTGAAGTTCGTAAAAAATATCACGTCAATTTTTTGAAACTGATCTAAAGGCAAAGTGCGACAGAAAAATGAAAGGACATTAAAAAGAAATGTGGAAGATGGGCATGACAAACACTGTTTGTCCTGTTCATATTCATGGAGGGGCCAAACAGCAGCAGGGGGAAGTGGAGAAGATAAAAGGACAAGCACCTTTTGTTGTGAGAGTTGTTGGAATATACATTGTTACAAAATAATACCAAATAGCATCATTATCTTTAATAAAACAATATTATAGTCATTTTATGACCTATTTAAGGGTCATAACATTTGTTCATTATATCAATCATCGTTTTATGTGTGTTATATTATTACAATGTATAATTCACATAACAGCTGCTCTTGAATACAATGTGAACTCAGCTTTACAGCTAAAATATGAAAATAATCTGTGGACAGCCATGTGCACCAGTCTTATGGCAAACAAAACAGAACAACGGTTAAAACCAACAATCAAGTAATGTTTATAAATGTTTATCTAGTTCTTAAGAGACAATAGTTTAGTATTATCAGCTTCAAGTTTGATTTTTGGCTGAATGACCATCCACTATTGAGATATCATTTGGCACTGGGGAAGCATTCTCCTCGGAGACGAATTTGACCGAGACCTGTGATGTAGATAAGTCTTTAGAGTTTAGGACGATTCCCTCTGTTAGGTGTTTCTTCTGAGATTTTACAACCCCTATTTCAATGTCATCGATCACTTCCTGTTTGTAGACTTCGCTGCCCTTGTCTTCGGTATCCGATGCTGATGATATTTTCAGAAGCCTTTCCCTCGAGTTTCGGTAATGTGTGTGTTTTCTGTCGTAATGAATAACAAGGATGAGAGCAATCATGCAGGGAATGAGGAAAATAATGCCAGCTAAAATCCCCACAATGCTGGTCAAAGATTCATCCTCTACAAATGTACACTTAGTGTAGATATCATAAGAATCATTCAGCATTGTATGAAGGCACACCTTGAGCTGGACATTTTTTAGATCAACACTTTCAATCGTGAAAGAATTTGAACTAGAATGAATTGTAACAGGGCCATAGAAATAGCCTTTAGATCCCATCTCTTTAACAGATATACGGAAGGCATAGATCAGGGAAGAGTTCACACGACTCCAATGTATCAAGATTTTTCCTTTTCTGATTTCTACCATGTAATGGAGGACCTGTAGATTTTGTAGAAGCAGAGAAAGTGGGCTGTCTTCATAGCAATGGGGCCTAGTTAAATTTTTACATGCTGGTTCCAAAGTTGAAACATTCTTTGTATTGGCATTCAAGTTTTTGCACTGAATTTCAGAACTCTCATGTCTATAATTAGGGAAGAAATTGTTATGGAGCTGCAAGTTTTGACTAACCCAGACAAGGTCACAAGTACATTCAAGGTTGTTTCCATGGAGATTGATGTACTCAAGGTCATGAAGGTGATGGATGGAGCAGAATTTCAGAGTCTGGAGTGCTGTTCTCTGTAGATCTAGATGTGCTAGGTGCTGTGGAAGTTTGATTGAACTTGCATCCATTTTCAAATTAAATGGGTTTCCTGACAAATCCAACAGTTTCAGTTCAATTAACTTACTTAAAGAATTGGGATGAATGTCAGAAATCTTGTTTTCTGCTAGATACAGTTCTTGAAGAGAAGTTTCCAACCCAGAAAATAAATGTTCAGTGAGGACCCTCAAGGAATTGTAAGATAAAAGCAGTTTCCTGATCAGTCTTGTTGGTCCAAAGAAACCAGTTGGAATTTCAGTTATCATGTTATTTGAAAGGTCTAGAATTTCAACAGAAGGAATCCATGACAAATCATCCTGCTCCAAAAAGGTAATGGCATTTCTGGACAAATTTAGGAGATGGATACCAAGCTTTTGTATGTTAGCGGCACTCATGTCCTCTATTTCATTGAAAGAAAAGTCCATTGTGTTAACCTGTTGCAGGTTCATAAAAATGTTGGGTATTGTTTTCATTAAGGTGTTATGGAAGCGGAGTGTTTCTATCTCCCTAATTCCTTCAAAGTAATCCACTGGAAATATGGTCATGATGGAATTTCCTAGAACTGTCAAAGATTTCCAAGACTCTTGGTCCAGATAAGGCCTACTTTCATTCAGTAACTTAGGAATGGTGGTTTTGTTTCCATAGTAACATGTAACCATGGTGCCAAGAGTCTCACTCACATTGTACTGACAGTCCTTGGAGAGGTCCTCTATCTGATAGGAGTAGGTCAAGGTAACAAAGGTCAAGGTTACAGAGGTCAGTTGTAACAGCCAGATTTTGGTCTTCTTGAGCATTTTGCCTACAAGAATGCAGAAAAAAAACTTGTTAAAATGGTATACAAGTGTAGATAGCTTGATTTCAAAAATTGGTTCTTAGCAGAGCTAAGGATCAAATAAAGTATTTTTATCAAGAATTGTTTGTTTTTCATCCATCATTTTATCTGGTGTTTGTCAATTATTCCTAGGTCAAGATTCATGTATAAGAAAAACTTAATAGTCGATGAATGTAAAAAATGTGGAGAACTTGTTTTTATATAATGTTCCTAAAATTATTTACATTTTAAAAAAGACAATATAATGATACATATCTAAATATTTAAAACATAGCTTTCATTTTTCAATTAGATATTGGCTTCAAAGTAACATTCCCATTTTTACCCTCTATTTAACAGGAAATAAACTGTATTGTGTTTGCTTATTTTCTTTTTTCCGTAACACCTTGTAGAATAGGTTATTTAAGTCTATCAAATGTAAGGTCTGTGCGTCATTTACTTTCCTAAGTTACATGCCCCTAGCACCTCAATTCTTGATTAAAATCTAGATAAATACCATTATCATGGCACGACCTATCCTATTGCCTGCATAATGACACATTTATTGTTTATATTTTACAATTAAAAAAAAAAAGAGAGAGAGAAAAATTAAAGTTAAACTTAAAATATTTTTCTATTTTTGACATTCCTAAAATGTATCCATTATTAAGATTCATTATATCCATCTGGCTATCTGAACTGACTGAAATTCATCTATTGTATCTGGAATTATTATTGTCCATTGAAAATAATGAGTCAGGCTAAGGTCATTATAACTAAAGGTCAAAATTATCCCACAACTTTGATATACTTGTTATTATTTGTGGAACTAATGTCAACTCAAAATTAAGAAAAAATCTGGGAAAAAAATGTATTTTTTTCTGGATATCCCCCCTTAATTTTTTTAAAATTATGATTATAGTTACATCAGTGTTTGAAATAACCGTGCGCCTGACCTCCCTAGATGCACAAATTTTGTCATGGGCAAACAAATTTGCACGTTTTGATGCCTGGCGGGAAGTGTAAAATTTTTCCATGAATTAAAATTCAGATATTTGATAACACTATCTCAAATCAACTAATATTACTGGTTGCAAAGTGTAACATGCAAACTGGTTGAATTCATCAGTCTACAGGTCGGGGATTGAATATATAGTGAGCTGCCCCCATTCACATTAAGTTATTGCTAAAATGAACTTTTTTCGGGCTAGTACATTTTTGGCAGGACAACTTTTACTAGCAGTCAGCCCTGCATGTCTAGCTACTTTTACAGCCAGTTTCAAACACTGGTTACATGTATACTATATGTCATAGTACCTCTGATCAGTTTGTATAAAGTTTATACATGTTATAAATGTACACCATGTACCAATATTTGAAGGCATAATTTGAACTTGGACTCTGTCAATCCATACTCAGTTTAACACAGTTTCACTACTTTATAAGATCAGATTCCATCTGTAAAGTTCATGTTTGTCTTTCCCTCGTCTGGGCCAGAACTTTACTGGGAGCTATTTTATATAATTACACATCACATCACACGTAGAAAGTCAGTGTCTAATTGTTCATTTTTCCAGTAACTTCCTCAAATTTTGAAATCTGTGGATTTAATTTCTTACATTTAAGTTTCACTTAAAAAAAAAGAATATTAGGCAAAATCTAATTATAATTTATGATCAAATTTTTAGTGGATATAAGTTGCTTTCTTGTCAGGTTCTTTGACATTTGTTAGCAAACTTTATTTTTCACTGGGTTTTATTTTTATAGAAAATTTGATACCTATAATTAGTTTTATAAAAGTATTGGTCATGTTAATTCTGATGATCTGAGGTATATTTAACATTTTTACACAAATATTATCATTAATTTATTAGTTTATAAATGTAAATTGTATATAAGCAAATTAAGATGCATATTTTTTGTAATTGAATTTAAGGTCCAGATTTGGCTAAAATTGGAAATTTGAAAAAGGGGGATAAATTATCACTATTGCAACACATAGGGTACTTTTTTAATTAAAAAAAAAGTCGAAAAAGTCTTGCTATTTATTAGCCATTAGAGGTCATAATAATGTAAAAATTAATTAAACAATCAATACTACAAATATTTTTAGTGATATTGTGTATATAAATTAATTTGAAATTTTTCTCATTTTAAATTTGCATCAAAACATAAAATACAAATCTTGTTTCATTTGATTTTTTTTTTTTAACAAATGAATTTAGAAATATTTATTCCCTCCTTTAAATTCTATATTTTATAACAATGTAATGTAAAGTAATAGAATCATGGTAATCTTACACTTACGTTGGATTAAGGAATATAATAGGGAGCATCCGACACTACAAATGGTAAATATAGAAAGTGTATTCAGAGTATCTATTTATATACCGGACCTGTTCATTGGTCCAAATCCAAGGTGTACACACGAGACGTAAATTACACCATAAACATCTATTGATTTGGTACTTGAAGATCTGTTTGGAAAGCTTCCTTTTTTGAACACTTCAGTATGTTGGCACTAAATGGGGGATTTGTTTTTATTTCTTTCCTCCCCATTGAACCAGATAGGGAACAAAAGAATCCCTGATTGATTAAGTGGGAAAGGAAAGGTTCTGGGTACAGTGAAACTTGAACTGTATCTTAAAATAAAGATAAAATTGTGTAGAATTGATAGAATAAATAAATAAATAATAGTAGAATTGCTCTATCATTAGATGATATGTTAACCTTAAATCAGTGATGCTTGTTCTGAATTATAGTTTTAAAAGCTAATTGATTTTTTTTTTTCATGTTTAAATATGGGATTAGAATTTTAAGTTTGAATTAATAGTTTAATATGAAAAGTAGTAAATTTTAGGTATATTCAGTTTGATATCACAGTCATCTGAATTCTGTCAAAAAATAACCACCACCCCTCCCCTTTACCCTGCAAAAAAACCCAATTTACCATATCTTGTAAATGTATTAGGGTAATTAAAAAAAGTTAGGAAGTAAAGTTTTTGTGTCTATATTGATATTGTGACTGAAGATGTATATTATTGACTTCCATTACTGATAGAAAATTTATGAACCTGTATTTCGATGGCCATCTTAAAAGCAATAAATTAAGATAGAAAAACACGAAACTGACAACAACATGTTTATTTCAAGGTGATGCAATGGAGAAATGAGAAATGAGTGTCTATGATTTATGTTTATTCTGATTTATAAGTTTATTCTCCTCCACCTATCTGCAGTCTCTCTATATATTGGTATTCTATATAAAAACTTCTCCACAGCAGAATCCCAGTGGGGTCTTTGTCCACTAAGGCTACTGTCCCTCAGAACTTTACACCTGTGGGCGGGGTGGTGCCAGGTAAATTGTCAGGTAGATTTCTGCATTGACTAGCATCTTTCTTTTCAAGATGAATGTATCTCACTAGAGTGCTGAATAAAATTCCTATTCATTTTAAGAGGTGTTCAGATAGCTTTGGGTTCAGAGCTGGGTACTGACATTGGCTTTGTTTACAGGAATAACATTCTCCTCATTGTGTTACAGAGAAGTAAGGTTGATAGGCTAGCTTGATTCAGTCAGGCTGTTTGAACCTACACCATGTGTCATTTTTGTACTCAGTTGACCTGCATATATTATATATACATGTATGAATTTGTATTCAAATTCTGAAGCAAAGGTGTGTAATGTCACACTCTTGAATGTTTACATATGGAGGATTTGTTTTAGTGGCTGGGTTATATAAATATATTCATATTCATAAGTTGTTAGAATATGTCACTATGCACTTGGAAGAGCCAGAAGAAGCCATTAAAACATGAAACAAAAATTTAATAAATTTAAATACTTAAATTGAGTTTTACAAGCCACTTAATACAGTGATATACTAAAGCAGTTTAACTGCTGCATTAACTGTAAATTCAAATTATTGAAATTATGGACTTACAATTTCATGTGCACACTTAGCAAATGTATATCTACTTATAAACATATTCATCTGTCATAAAGAGAATAATGGCCCAGGTGAGCATTGTGGCCTATGGGTCTCTCTTTTCTAATTTCACCTTAACCTTCTTGAGAGAAGAGAATTATTTTACCCAGGCACCCTCTGTAGGAACAAGTCTAATTTTGGAATAAAATTCTTTTTAAATGATGTAAGGTTTAGAGGATTACTGTGGAAGCACCATTGCTCTGGGGGGACCAATGTTGATGGATTTCATGGGTAACCCTTATTCATGAATTTACATCCCCACAAATAATTATTTTGTCTATATATATTATTCTCTGAATCATATGAATATTCACGTTACCCACTGAATTACCGTATGTCCCTTTGAACCAACAAAATGTTCCTTATTTACGAACATTGACCCCCCATTTTAAAATAATACCACGGTATATTGATATATAAATCAAAGTCAACATGGTCAAGTACATTTTTTACCTGTTTTGTTTTAAAGTAAACATTGATTCATGTTAGGTAACCCAAGGTTATCCAGTTTTGTGTAAACTTTTCAATACTTGACCTACTAATATACAGGTTTAATACCAATCACACACTTCCATACTGTAAATTTAACCCTGTAAAAATGGAGGGTCAGACTCATATATTAAAAAAAAACACTGCTCAGCCAAAAAATAACTAAACTTATTTGAAGTCTCCTGATATCCATTCAGATCATTATACCCCCCTCTTGAAAAGCGAGAGGGTATATAGTAATCGGTATGTCCGTCCGTCTAGCTGTCCGTCCGTCCGTCTGTCTTTTACGCTTTGGGGTACCCATCTCTTATCCACAACTCCTCTTATACCACTGAGTGAAATTTAATGAAACTTTCACAGAATCTTTATTACATATTGCCATTGTGACCTCCTATTTTACTTTTTGATCCGACACATATTTTGGGTTTCCCGGCCACAGCAAAACATGGACTTTGCCATTATAGCCATATGGGAGGCAGGGGGTATCGTTTGGTGAGCTCTTTGCTCACAATACCTCTAGTTGCCTTTGGAACTTTGATGGAACCATGAACAGGGTCTGAAAAATATGTACTTAAAAAAGTATATGTTGTAATAAAGAAGTAGAATCCTTGTCAAGCCTTGTCAGTCAACTGGCACCCCATGATCTATTTCCAAAATTAGTAAAAATATACCGGTAGATTCATTAATGTTTTCATTATCAATTAAAAAGTTCCCTCAAAGCATCCAAATATTAAATAAAAAAAGAATTGAAATAATTTTTTTTTTAAATTATCATTTTGGGTCACACCCTGGTATTATTACTAAAAAGGTTTTCTAAGGGGAGATAAATAAACACCAATAAGGATCAAAATAGGCTCTGACCCCTATTTGCCCTCTGTTTTAAGATGTCTTAAATCTGGAATAATGCAATAGTTCATATCTGAAACTTGTCATCTGTTTTCAATATGAGTATTAGTTTTCAAGTGATAAGATACATAAAGGTCACTGGAAGGTCATAATATTGGTCAATTTCTAATTAGATTAAGTGTTTTTCTTCTTCAAGTTTTCATCAATATGAGGCAATTTTGTTTTTAAAAAGTTTGCCTATCCACCATATTTATAAAATTCATGCATAAGTATGTCTTATGTATGAAAATCTTAGATAAGCAAGTATGTGCTCTGTTTTTCTCAAAGTAATAAGTATCTCCAGAGTGACCAAAATCTCAGAATTGATGATGTTTGGTAAAAGATTCAGTTTGCTACTTTCTAATGGCAATCACTTATGCTTTGAACCAAAATCGGTGTTGGTTTTAAAACAAACATCATTTAAGTCACAACCTTAATTAACTGTTTTGATTTTTATATCTCAAATGATTCAAATTCAGCTGATATGATGCCTTGTCCTTTGCCATTAATCAATTTATTTTTTTTTCTGTAGATAATTGTGTCCATGTTGTCAGTGCCTGCCATTTTTTACCGACCAAAGGGGCGTGAGGAAGACTCAGATAATGCCAGGGAGAAATTCCAGGTGCCTGAGAGTGACCATCTGACCATCTTAAACGTCTATCAACAGTGGAAAAGAAATGGGTAAACTCTTACTGTATCTCAAATTATCATAGAAAATCCTCCGAGAGGGTCAACTTTGAGATTCTTAAATTTGTTTCATTGGAGAATGAAATGAATAAACTTTTTTGTCTCAAAATAAAAAAAAAATGCTAGAAATTGAATAGGTTAAAAAAAAAAATAAAAGAGGTCTTTTAAGTATTAATTAAAAATGTTTTGTTTTATACATATTGGATCTTTTTTCTTTTTTTTTTCTTTATTTAGGTACTCGGCCACTTGGTGCAATGAGCACTTTATTCACATCAAGGCGATGAGAAAGGTGAGTTTTAGCCTATAAATTTTCTTTAACATCCAATGCTGATTAAAAAACTCAATCATATAGTGACCGTATTCTTTTCTGTGTCCAAAGTAAAATTTATTTATTGTAGATTTTTTTTTTTGCAATAAAAAATAATTCCATTTAGTTTGCAATGCAGAAGATAAATATCTGAAAATTTAATTTATTTTTCCTTTTAAATTTTAAATAATAGGACCACATAAATATTGCAAAAAAGTAAAATTAACATTATTATTCTATCAAAGAAAAGCTATGGCCATAAGATCGACAGAGAGCTGCATGGTGATGTCACACCTATAATGTACCCGTGTGACACATTAAATTCTGATAGAGTTAGGTGGCTTTATATATAAAGTGCTTTGATCAAGAAAAAATTTGCATGAAAAATATTTAGTATTCAAAAACTATGTCACCACTACCTTGGAGAGTTGAAAAAGTTACATTGGTGCTTTAATTTTTTGTAAAAGCATTGATAAAAATAAAATGATTTTGTATTCATTTAGACAACAGGATCCATTTGCACATGCAAACTTAGTACAGTAAAACTCAGTTATAACAAAGTAACTGGGACCTATGAAATTACTACGCTATATCTGTAATTCGTTATATCCGTATAAGGAATTAGTTAAATTTATAAAGCTGGGGATCCAAGTTAACTTCACTATATCCGTGAATTCGCAATAGTTGTGTTCGTACTAAATGAGTTTTGCTGTTTAATATAAGTTTAATAAACTAGGCTAAGCCATTTACATTACATTAATGCGATGGTAGAATAAAAGTTTTTTTCAAAATTCTGAATTTGTGGCATTTTGTTGTGATATAAATATACATTTGTATTTTTTATTTTTTTTTTAAATATTAATCTGATACAATTATTATAAATTATCACTACACTTAAAAGTGTTTACGTCTCAATCAACTTCAAGAAAAACATAATTTCAAATTAAAACAAGAGGCCCATGGGCCACATCGCTCACCTGAGCACTGTGGCTAGGAAAAAGTAGAAATTGGTTTTATTATTGAAAAGTTTAAATCCAAAAGTAAACCTCTGTACAGTTATGGTTTTGCTATTCTTGAGAAGATGATTTTTAAAGAATTTTCCTATATATTTCTATTTAAAAATTTGGTCGGCCATTGTGGCCCCACCGTACCCCCGGGGGTCATGATTTGAACAAACTTGAATCTACACTACCTGAGGATGCTTCCATATAAATATGATCAATCATGGCTTTGTTATTCTTGAGAAGAAGATTTTTAAAGAATTTTCCTATATATTTCTATGTAAAACTTTGGTCGGCCATTGTGGCCCCGCCTACCCCTGGGGGTCATGATTTGAACAAACTTGAATCTACACTACCAGAGGATGCTTCCATACAAATATGATCAATCATGCCTTTGTTATTCTTGAGAAGAAGATTTTTAAAGAATTTTCCTATATATTTCTATGTAAAACTATTGTGGCCCCGCCCTACCCCCGGGGGTCATGATTTGAACAAACTTGAATCTACACTACCTGAGGATGCTTTCCCATAGGTTTCATCTTTCCTGGCACAGTGTTTCTTGAGAAGAAGATTTTTTAAACATACCACCAAATTTTCATTAATTCCCAATTATCTCCCCTTGAATGAGGGCGTGGCCCTTCATTTGAACAAACTTGAATCCCCTTCACGAAAGGATGCTTTGTGGCAAGTTTGGTTGAAATTGGCCCAGCGGTTCTTGAGAAGAAGTCGAAAATGTGAAAAGTTTACAGACAGACAGTCGGACAGACAGCCAGACGGACGCCGGACAAAATGTGATCAGAAAAGCTCACTTGAGCCTTCGGCTCAGGTGAGCTAAAAACGTTCAATCAACAATTAGGCCACATGTGTTCCCAAGTAAATCATCTGGATAAATGAAGCATTCAGTTTACTGGTCAAATACATGTATAACTTTTATAATGAGTAGATATCTCTGTATATTATGTTCCCCACAAAGCATCAGGAAGGGTCAAGCATCTGGATTTTTGGCGCCAGATTATCAAGGTTTAACGGTATGAGACCAAACCTTGGTACATATGTACATAACATTTGTAAAGCATTGATGAAACTAATATTTGATGTATGAAATTATGGATACTTTGTTCAAAATGCATTATTTACATAAAAGCAAATTTTATTGAATAAATAACCTGTTTAAAATTAAAAAAAAAACGAAAAACTCATCATTTTAGCTGGTTAACCTACACTAAAATTCCCCATAAAATTTTTATATAATAAAACCTATTAATTTATTCTGTGTTGTTTGGAGCATTGTTTATTAAGTAAGTTGATTTAAGTTATCGCTGAAGGTGACTCTGGGGCCCATTTTACAAAAGGACTTACGACTTAAGACCAAATCTAATTCTTCAGATAACTTTTTAATTAATTTTATATAGAAAATTATTTTAAACTCCTTAAAAGGAATGTGGTAAGATATTTTTTACACAAACAATTTCAAAGAGAATTATTAATTATGCAAAATTTTACAATAATCTGAAGTTTTTGATCTTAGTCGTAAGTTCTTTTGTAAAACAGGCCCCTGGATTCTGGACAATTCTTTTTAAAAGTTATTGCCCATAAAATGCAAGTCTGCCTCACAGAAAGGTACATCTATAAATGTTGAAAAAAAAAGCAGACAAAAGTCGACATCAGATAAGGGGGCTCCCATTCAAAATAATACAAAAGTGCACATCTTGTTAGAGGCTTTGAATACGTACTAATGTGGACTGGGTAGATGCACTTTATTACATTCTTCTCATTTAACTGAACATAAATTGTATCAAATTCCTCATAAAAGCAGTAAATTAATTCTTTCAGATAATGGCAAGGCTGCACCCTGCACTTGTAATACAAATGTAAACAAAATTCCCCTGCATGCCCAGCATAACCTTTCATAGGTTAATGAGTCAAAATTGCTACCAGGCAAATAAATTAAAAGTACTGGGTATATTTATTTAAATCTCCAATTAGATTTATTTTCAAAAGTTTTGTCAATTTTTTTTATAATTTTTCTTAATTTTTTTTTATTTTCATTGAGTATATTAGTCAATTTACTACTGCTTTACAGTTGCCCATGTGACGCAGTGGTTAGAATGTCTGCCTTAGAGTTGTGGAGTAAGGAGTTGATCCTTACATCGCAGGTTCAAATTCCACTGTGGGACGTAGAGACTGGTCCTTTGGATAAGACCATATAAACTGAGGTCCTGTGTCGCAGTAGGTGCTGGCACGAAAAAAGACCCTTCACTGCTCAATGGCCCTGAGTCCCGAGTATAGGGCAAAATGTGCAGCTCTCCACTGGCAAGTGGTGGCCTCTCCATATAAATGAAAATTTTTTCCGAGAGGAACATTTAACAACAAACAAAACCTATGATTTACTGTTTTCATAATCCTGCGTGAAACAAAAACTTTAATAACAAAAATGGGGAATTTAAATAATTTTTTAAAGCAATATGAGCTGCATGTTTGACATCGAAAGAAAAAGTTGCAAATTTGTAATTAACTATTTCAATGACAGAAAAATAGAACATTTCTAAAATTCTGTTGTTCATATTTGCCTTGGAAGAACTTTTTATAAGCTTTAATTGAAGCAAAATTGAATTATTGTCGTCCTGTACAATAATGATTTCTTATATCATACTGTACATTTGGTTGTACAGAAATATTTCTTCTGAAACATTTTGAAACTTTATTTTGGTCTTATTGATCATAAGGGTTTAGATTATATACAGATTAATCAGAATAACACATTTTACCAGCAAAATAAAATTCTCAAAAATGCAGCTCATATTGCTTTAAATAAATGTGAGAGTATCATCAGATTATTATTAAATAGGTGGCAATTTTAGTGTTTTTTGGGTACATTATTTACTTGGTAGAATAGTTGGGTAATTGTAATTATTATGTACATTTTTGATTTTTATTTATCAGGTAAGAGAAGTGAGACAACAACTAAAGGAAATAATGGATCAACAGAAAATGGAGCTAGTCTCATGTGGAAACGAGTGGGATGTCATCCGCAAGTGTATATGTTCCGCATATTTCCATCAAGCTGCTCGACTCAAGGTATAAAATAAGTTCCTTGTTGCAAATACTGGGATTGGTTGCCATTAGAAGTCCAGAATATTAGCGGTTTTTTGCATTTTTTAACTTTAAAGCAAACTAAAAAAGTTCTTGTTAATGGAAACTAAGGGGGGGGGGGCTGTTATTAAAGAACTTATTTGACTCATGAACAATTTAGAGAGAAAAAATTCTGTATTCAAAGAAGAAAGAGTACTTTAAAGAAATGAGGAACACATGTAATTATTTTGTCTGTAATAAATTAACAGAGAGACATTCATATGATGTATGGATAACAGTCTAGTGTATGAAATGTTTTTTTTATTGCACTACTATATATAATTACTGTGTATACTACTCAGTGTTGTGTATGTTTCAGGGGATAGGGGAGTACGTTAATGTGCGTACTGGAATGCCTTGTCATCTTCATCCCACCAGCTCGCTGTACGGCATGGGATATAACCCCGACTATATCGTGTACCATGAACTAATCATGACTGTCAAGGCAAGTACATACAGTCATACCTTTAAACTCAATAGAACCAAAAACAAGAGGCCCAGGGGCCACAGCGCTCACCTGAGCACATCAGCTAGGAAAAAACACATATCAGATCAGAACTGAAAGTTAAGTTGGGGAGGGGGGGTGAATTTTAACCCCCAAGGGGATCATAATTTGAACGAACTAGAATCTACATTACCTGAGGATGATTCCATACAAATATTACTAATCCTGGCTTTGAAGTACTTGAAAAGAAGATTTAAAAAGGTTTCCCTATATATTTCTATGTAAAACTTTGGTCGGCCATTTTGGCCACACCCTTACCCCGGGGTCATGACTTGAACAAACTTAAATCTACACTACCTGAGGATAACTTCACATGAGTTTCATCTTTCCTGTTTCCATGGTTCTTGAGAAGAAGATTTTGAAAGATTTTTCCTATATATTCCTATGTAAAACTTTGATCGGCCATTTTGGCCCCGCCCTACCCCCGGGGGTCATGACTTGTACAAACTTGAATCTACACTACCTGAGGATGATTCCACATGAGTTTCATCTTTCCTGGCCCAGTGGTTCTTGAGAAGAAGATTTTGAAAGATTTTTCCTATATATTCCTATGTAAAACTTTGATCGGCCATTTTGGCCCCGCCCTACCCCTGGGGGTCATGACTTGAACAAACTTGAATCTACACTACCTGAGGATGATTCCACATGAGTTACATTTTTCCTGGCCCAGTGGTTCTTGAGGAGAAGATTTTTTAAAAATGCCAATAATTTTTCTCTAAATCATGATTATCTCCCCTTGGAAAAGGGCGTGGCCCTTCATTTGAACAAACTTAAATCCCCTTCACCCAAGGATACTTTGTGCCAAGTTTTGGTTGAAATTGGCCCAGTGGTTCTTGAGGAGAAGATGAAAATGTGAAAAGTTTACGACAACGACGACAACAACGACAACAACGACAACGACTACAACGACGACAGACAACGGACAAATTTTGATCAGAAAAGCTCACTTGAGCCTTCGGCTCAGGTGAGCTAAAAAAACTAGCGAGGACTGAAGACTTAGATATAGGGGTTAAAATGCATGGAAAGAGTTGAGGCTTCCAATTCACTGTGACTTGTTCATAGTATTCAAGATGTCAAAATTCCAAAATACAACTGTATAACTATACAGAAATATAGCATTGACCATGTAATCAGAATACAGCATTGTATAGGTAATTACATACAGGACCTGTTTAAAGCTGTCTGTATTTTAGAAATTTTTATAAGAATCTCCATTTTGTGTGGACGAAATTTTCATTATGTTAAAAAAGTTCAGATGCAGTCTTAATGTTCATAATACCAAACCTTTCTGGCTTCTGGTGTAGTGATGACCTATGAGTATTGTGTCAGAGTTTAAATTATATGTTAGTGTTCTGATCATTTACAATAGTTTGTGACTTATCAGAAAAGCCATATCAGAAATATCTCTGCCACTTTCACCTTTGTGGCACAGTGGTTAGAGCATTGCTCTAGAGTCACCTTTAAGTCGTGGCTTCGAATCCAGTAGGGAGATTCTTCTCTGCTCAAAAGCCTAAAGCCCTAAGTACATATTTAAGTTTGCAGCCTTCTATTGGCAAGCGGGGGCTTTTCAATATGAGTGAAAAATGTGAAGGGACATTAAACAAACAAGCAAACCATGCTATGCATAGATTCCTTATCATGAGTACAACAAGATGTGTTTTTGAAACATTGATGCCCCTGTATTGCAGCTTAAAGCAGGGGGTGAAAATTTTCAAATGCAAGTTAAACTCCATGGTCAAGGTCAAAAGATAAAAATTGTTGGTACCCAAAGGAAGGTCTCACAAGGAAAACACCTGTGAAATATGAAAGCACTAACAGTTCAAAAGTTATGGTCAAGGATAAAGTTTTTAAAAGGGGCAACACCTTAAGGTCAAGGTCAGAAGGTCAAACTTGTTTGTCTTCAAAGTTAAGTAAGGTCTTGTCACAAGGAATATACATGTGAAATATGTAAGGATTGTAAGCCCTAGTCTAACAGTTCAAAGGTTATGGTGAAGGTTGAATTTTTTTAAAAGTGGACCAAACTCTAAGGTCAAGTTCAAATATTTTTACACCCAATAAAAGGACTATTGTAACAGTGAAGCACCAACTATTTTAAAGTTGTGGCTATGGTTAAAGTTCGGAAATTTTTGGTAAAAATGGGTCAAACCCCAAGGTCAAGGTCACAAGGTCAAATTTGGCTGTACCAAAAGAAATTTCTTGTCACAAGAAATACACCTGTGAAACCCACCTGCTCAAAAGTTATGGAGAAGGTGTAAGTTTTAGCAGACAAACAGATAGACAGACAAATGGACAGGGCAAAAACTTAAAACCCCTGAATTTTTGATTATGGGGCATAATATATTGTGTATATATCTGTGTTACAAAGACTATTTTCCTCATTCTAATGAAGCCCAGTAGTTCTGTTTTGTTGTTGACAATAACTTATTATGGCAAAAGAATAAGCCATGGTGACCAGAGTACAGTCAAACTTGGTTCAAATAAAGTTTTGGGGACCTGTGAATTTCCTTTGCTATATTCAATTGGTATCAAAAATTCTATTTGAATATATATTGAAACATAAAAGGAATTTAAAATGAACTTTAAAATGAATTAGATAGATATTTATTTGGTATACTACACATACGTTGCAATATTCACAATATAATTTAAGATATATATATATAAAAGATGGCATTAAACAATATAATTGATATAAAATATCGGAATCAATCATTTTTGAAAGACATGAATTTATAAATATGATTCACATAAGATTATATTTGTATACCAAGGATAACCCATGAAAGCCAATGGCTTATTTCCAATGGGGTCCTTATACTCAAACATGTATATTAATTGGATGTTAAATAATATAAGCAGATAAATACAAAATTAAAATACTATAGCTAAGATATGGGATCAAGTTGACAACACAAAGATCCTTAAAAATGAAGTGTATTATGAATGTATACCAAATATTCACAAATCTAAAATAAATTCAAAATATTCATGTTTTCCTTCATATATGACTGTTCAGGGAAGTTTTGAAAATAAAATGTATCTTTGGAGTAGTCAAGTATTCTAATGATTTAGAATTGAAATTCAAATTTGAATAATTACAAGAAATAATATCAGTTCAACACATCAGATTTTGATACTGAAAACTTCAGATGCAATACATGTAATGTAGCCCTCTCCAAATTGTTTAAATCTGATATCCCCCCTTCCCCAAAAAGGAGAGGGTCACACTATTACAGCTATGAAAACATGGTTTTAAAAGATGTAATTTTTTAAAACCCGCTGGGAAATGAAATCAGTTCTTTAAGCCATTAATTAAAATTAGAGTTTGTTATAATCATAATAATAAAATTTCACATGGAATTATGAAGGGTTTGCCAGGGATTAAAAAAATGCTATGTATATCCATAAATTTGCTATATCATATGCAATTTAATTACCACGTCAAAATTTTCATGAGAAATTAAATTAAAAAAGAGAGAAAAGACAAAAAGAAAAATATCCTTTACAAAAAGTAAGAAAGTGAGTACCACTGGTAGTGGGATTATTTTAGTAGCATATGTGGTAAAATACAAGTTTGTTTAAATCATATTTTACATAAGTGAAGGTGTCTAGACTAGACGATCATTTTACATTAATATACAAGTATATGGTTATATTATGAATTTTTTTGTCAAGAACAGTAAGACCATGATGAATCAAAATTATAATGCAAGCACCCCCCCCCCCCCCCCCAGTGTATCTATCTTTTTAATCATGCATGGTCTTCGTGGATCAGAGGTTGGGGCCACAACTGGGATAAAAGTATTATATTGTGTATTGGAATACAAAGGAAAAAAAAAATACAAGCTATTAGCCTTTCATTTATATATTATATCTATTATCTAGATGCATGCATTTGTCGTGATGTATGTACTATTCAGAAAGACCTTGATCATGCTTGCTGCATATGCATTGGAAACTTACCTTTATAAATGTTAAAAAATATGTGTGTTCAGGTCAACTCCACGTTGCTGAAAACTGTATGGTGTGCAGACACAATATCCCCACACTCTTGTACACAGAATACATTGGTCATTGTATACAAGTGCTGTTCAGCACATTTGTAGTGCCAGTCTGCCAGCTAACCTTCATCTATTTATAGTAACAAACAGATGCCCCCTATCACACCACACTGAGTTTTCCCACCATATCGTATTGTTCAGTAGAGTGCATCAAGTGACCACACTTCTATCGCATGTTGACTTTCTGGACTGAGTCACTCAGTGAAAAAAATTATACACACATATACTCAACATGTATATTTTTACATAAAAATTATTTATGCAATGTTAGATAAAATGTACAAAATAAATGAAAATTAATAATCTATAATATATCAATCAAAATTAGATTCTTTTGTTCCACAAAAAAATTACAATACAGATTTTGTATATGGCAACAGTTGGTGAGGGGATCAAAGGATCAATTGTGATTACGTTAAATTCCCTTTCCTGCATTAGTTTGTTGTATCTTATTTCATACCTTATCAAAGGTCTTCTGATGAAAGAAGGAATTGGTAAATTATAGAAAATTTGTCTTTAGCAGCATACAAGCTCAATGACATAATTATATATGTATATAAAACAGATTTATATATTACATATATATATACCTATGGTACATGAAAGTGGTATTGCTTAAAATTACATGTACGACCAGTTCTGAACATTTGAACTGTTCAAATCCCTCATTTACACACTTAGCATGTCGTAATACTTGAGTCAGCATGTGAGGTAGAGTACTTCAAAGGGGAAGGAAATCACCATTCTACTTTTCTTTCAATAATTTACATGTTTCTTTAAGATATACACTGCCCAAACAATAATCCCTACACCCAATTTTAATAATTTTATTCATAAAGTGCAACAGATGTATTACTAAGAAATACCAAAGGCACGCATTTCTAGTACACTGTGTATGTTAACCTACCAGTGTATTAGACATGTTCACTATTACAATAAAAGTTCACTTTGGGGTCAAAATAATTCAATGGGGCCCTGCTATGAGGAACCTTAAAGTAAAGACTCTTTCTGACTGTACATCCAGCTTTCTATAAATTTTCTATCTATAACTTTTAGAATAATAAGCCTTTTATAAAGAAATTCGTAAATATTTCAACCACTTGTTGGCTTAGAATCATCAAACTTTATCAGTTGATGCATCTTTGGTCTCTGGAGTATATCAATAACAAGAGGCCCAGGGGCCACATCGCTCACCAGAGCACAAATCATATCAGAATTGAAAAGTTGAGGGGGGGTTTGAATTAAAATACTACTTGAGAATGCCTCCATATCAATACAGCATATAACTTTGCTGTTCTTGAGGAAAAAGGGTTTAAAAGTTTACATTTTGTTTAACTTGTTTTACTTTATATTACTTTGTTATGATTTGAATTTGATTCCCCCATTGTTTCCCTCCCTACCCCAAAGGGTCATGATTTGAACAAATTTGATCTTCAATACATGAAGATGCTTTAATCCACCATTGAGACCCCATCCTACCCTTGGGGGTTATGATTTGAACAAATTTAATTCTACACTACCTGAGGATGCTTCTATATAAATATGACTAATCATGGCTCTGCTATTCTTGAGAAGAAGATTTAAAAAAATATTTTAATGTAAAACTTGGATCCACGATTGTGGCCTGATGGTTATAATTTGAAAACTAGAATCTACACTACCCGAGAATGCCTCCATATGGATATCACTTATCATGGCTTTGCAGTACTTGAGAAGAAGATTTTACAAGATTTCCCTACATATTCCTATGTAAAACTTTGATCAGGCATTGTGGCCCCACCCTGCCCCCAGGGGTCATGATTTGAACAAACTTGAATCTACACTAACTGAGGATGATTTCACATGAGTTTCATCTTTCCTGTCTCAATGGTTTTTGAGAAGAAGATTTTTAAAGATTTTTCCTATATATTCCTATGTTAAAACTTTGATCGGCCATTGTGGCCCCACCCTACCCCCAGGGGTCATGATTTGAACAAACTTGAATCTACACTACCTGAGGATGATTTCACATGAGTTTCATCTTTCCTGTCTCAATGGTTCTTGAGAAGTAGATTTTTAAAGATTTTTCCTATATATTCCTTTGTAAAATTATGATCGGCAATTGTGGCCCTGCCCTATCCCCAGGGGTCTTGATTTGAATAATTTGAATTTACACTACCTGAGGATGATTTCACATGAGTTTCATCTTTCCTGTCTCAATGCTTCTTGAGAAGAAGATTTTTAAAAACTTTTCCTATAGATTCCTATGTTAAAACTTTGATCGGCCGTTGTGGCCCCACCCTACCCCCAGGGGTCATGATTTGAACAAACTTGAATCTACACTACCTGAGGATGATTTCACATGAGTTTCATCTTTCATGTCTCAATGGTTCTTGAGAAGTAGATTTTTAAAGATTTTTCCTATATATTCCTTTGTAAAATTATGATCGGCAATTGTGGCCCTGCCCTATCCCCAGGGGTCTTGATTTGAATAATTTGAATTTACACTACCTGAGGATGATTTCACATGAGTTTCATCTTTCCTGTCTCAATGCTTCTTGAGAAGAAGATTTTTAAAAACTTTTCCTATAGATTCCTATGTTAAAACTTTGATCGGCCGTTGTGGCCCCACCCTACCCCCAGGGGTCATGATTTGAACAAACTTGAATCTACACTACCTGAGGATGATTTCACATGAGTTTCATCTTTCATGTCTCAATGGTTCTTGAGAAGTAGATTTTTAAAGATTTTTCCTATATATTCCTTTGTAAAATTATGATCGGCAATTGTGGCCCTGCCCTATCCCCAGGGGTCTTGATTTGAATAATTTGAATCTACATTACCGGAGGATGATTTCACATAAGTTTCGTCTTTCCTGTCTCAATGCTTCTTGAGAAGATTTTAAAAAAAATTTCCTATGTATTCCTATGTAAAACGTTGATCAGCCATTGTGGCCCCACCCTACCCCCGGGGGTCATGAGCTTTTTTTATCACATTTTGTCCAGCGTCCATCAGTCCGTCTGTCTGTCTGTCCGTCTGTCTAGCTGTCTGTCTGTCTGTCTGTAAACTTTTCACATTTTCGACTTCTTCTCAAGAACCGCTGGGCCAATTTCAACCAAACTTGCCACAAAGCATTCTTGGGTGAAGGGGATTTAAGTTTGTGAAATTGAAGGACCACGCCCTCTTTCAAGGGGAGATAATTGGGAATTAATGAAAATTTGGTGGTATGTTTAAAATCTTCTTCTCAAGAACCACTGTACCAGGAAAGATGAAACTTATGGGGAAACATCCTCAGGTAGTGTAGATTCAAGTTTGTTCAAATCATGACCCCCGGGGATAGGGCGGGGTCACAATGGCCAACCAAAGTTTTACATAAAAATATATAGGAAAATTCTTTAAAAATCTTCTTCTCAACAATAGCAAAGCCAGAATTGATCATATATATATATGGAAGCATCCTCAGGTAGTGTAGATTCAAGTTTGTTCAAATCATGACCCCTAGGGGTGGGGCGGGGCCACAATGGCCGACCAAAGTTTTACATAGAAATATATAGGAAAATTCTTTAAAATTCTTCTTCTCAAGAATAGCAAAGCCAGAATTGATCATATTTATATGGAAGCATCCTCAGGTAGTGTAGATTCAAGTTTGTTCAAATCATGACCCCTGGGGGTAGGGTGGGGCCACAATGGCCGACCAAAGTTTTACATAGAAATATATAGGAAAATTCTTTAAAAATCTTCTTCTCTAGAATAGCAAAGCCAGAATTGATCATATTTATATGGAAGCATCCTCAGGTAGTGTAGATTCAAGTTTGTTCAAATCATGACCCCCGGGGGGTAGGGCGGGGCCACAATGGCCGACCAAAGTTTTACATAGAAATATATAGGAAAATTCTTTAAAAATCTTCTTCTCAAGAATAGCAAAGCCAGAATTGATCATATTTATATGGAAGCATCCTCAGGTAGTGTAGATTCTAAAAATCATCTTCTCAAGAATAGCAAAGCCATGATTGGTCATGGGACTACTTTTGGATTTAAACTTTTCAATAATAAACCAATTTCTACTTTTTCCTAGCCATAGTGCTCAGGTGAGCGATGTGGCCCATGGGCCTCTTGTTTTTTAAAATCTTCTTTTCTGCATAATTATGATGAGGAAGGATGCCTCTTTGAGATTTGTGAATTTCAGGCCCCTGGGTCAGGTCTTCTTGTGTTAGGGTGGGGCTCTAATGTTTATAAGCTCACCTGAGCCAAAGGCTCAAGTGAGCTTTTCTGATCACATTTTGTCCGTCATCTGTCCGTCTGTCTGTCCGTCTGTACACTTTTCACATTTTCGACTTCTTCTCAAGAACCAATGGGCCAATTTTAACCAAACTTGGTACAAAGCATCCTTGGGTGAAGGGGAGTTTAAATTGTGAAAATGAAGGACCATTACCCCCTAACAAGGGGAAATAATCAAGAAAAGACAAAAATAGGGTGGGGTCATTAAAAAATCTTCTTCTCAAGAACCACTGGGCCAGGAAAGCTGAAACTTATGTGGAAGCATCCTTGGGTAGTGTAGATATAAAATTGTTAAAATCATGACCCCCGGGGGTAGGGCGGGGCCACAATAGGGAATCCAAGTTTTACATAGGAATATATAGAACAAATCTTTTAAAATCTCCTCAAGAACCACTGGGCCAGGAAAGCTGAAACTTACGTGGAAGCATCCTTGGGTAGTGTAGATATTAAATTATAAAAAATCATGACCCCCAGGGTTAGGGCGGGGCCACAATAGGGAATCCAAGTTTTACATAGAAATGTATAGAACAAATCTTTAAAAATCTTCTTCTCAAGAACCACTGTACCAGGAAAGATGAAACTTATGGGGAAACATCCTCAGGTAGTGTAGATTCAAGTTTGTTCAAATCATGACCCCCGGGGGTAGGGTGGGGTCACAATGGCCGACCAAAGTTTTACATAGAAATATATAGGAAAATTCTTCAAAATTCTTCTTCTCAAGAATAGCAAAGCCAGGAAAGCTGAAACTTATGTGGAAGCATCCTTGGGTAATGTAGATATTAAATTGTTAAAATCATGACCCCCGGGGGTAAGGAGGGGCCACAATAGGAAATCCACGTTTTACATAGAAATGTATAGAACAAATCTTTAAAAATCTTCTTCTCAAGAACCACTGGGCCAGGAAAGCTGAAACTTATGTGGAAGCATCCTTGGGTTGTGTAGATATTAAATTGTAAAAATCATGATCCCGGGGGTAGGGCGGGGCCACAATAGGAAATCCAAGTTTTACATAGAAATGTATAGAACAAATCTTTAAAAATCTTCTCAAGAACCACTGGGCCAGGAAAACTGAAACTTATGTGGAAGCATCCTGGGGTAGTGTAGATTCCAAATTATTAAAATCATGAAAGGGGAGGGGGCAGGGGGCACGATAAGTATAGCAAGAGGGGAAATCTGGTAAAGAACCGCATCACCCAAGTTACTCAGGTGAGCGATGTGGCCCATGGGCCTCTTGTTTCTATATATTCCTATGTAAAACTTTTATCGGCCATTGTTGCCCCACCCTACCCCTGGGGGTCATGATTTGAACAAATTTAAATCTACACTACCAGAGGATGGTTCCACATGAGTTTCATCTTTCCTGGCCAAGTGGTTCTT